GCGATCTTGTGAAGCAAACGGTGGCTACTCTTGGCGAGAACATCAAAGTCAGAAGGTTTGTCAAGTTTACTCTTGGAGAAGTTCGTTTGCTTTTTGTTAAGATTAAAGCAAAATCTTCCCTTATTTGTAGACGTGCCACATCTTTTCAATGAAAAGCTGTATTTTTTGTTCATGAAGATGAGGTTGATTTTATAAAACATGAGTTCCTATCATGAATATCAATCTTAACTCAAAGCGAACATTACATGATTGTGACGGTCTAGTTCTGTCTAGGCTCAAAACGCCACAGATCGACGGCAATATCAACTTCTTTTCGCTTGTGGAACTTGTAGAGTTTTGGCAAGTCATACTGGAGCTGCAAGGGGAACAATATAGATGAATTAGATTGATCAGACCCCATTCACATCAGAGAGTTTCACATTGCTTTCCAGAAAGTAATTCAAATCTACCTCACACAGAACTTCCGCACTTTTTGCATTAAAATCACGCAATGCCGCCCTTTTAATGTGCTGCGCAAATGTAATGGTTGTTACTAACAAAATATATAGTTTAGCGTGAATAGTAAGTAGTATTATCAGGAAGAAGAAAGGCTCCAGCTTACTTCTCTAGTAGATGTCTTATGCAATGAATAAACTGCTTGTGAGGCGACCTGCGTAACAAAATTTCGAATATAAAACATAAAACCGAATAGTCTGAAATTCAGAAAACAGTAAAAGAGATTTTCATTTCTGTTTTCACCTTCATTGCCGCAGAGAGAAACTCCATGTCAGCTCCTTTCTTTCTTGTCCCAAATGGAGGGTTCATTACAGCAGTATCCACAATCTGGCCTAAAACAATGCATGGAGACACGAAAATATTACCGATAGACTCTTTCGTTTTTTAGTTAAATGAATTAAAATGAAAGGATCCTTTACCTTTTAACTCTAAGTTTGTAATGTCACACTGAACGAAATCTATCTCCACCTGCGCGAAACTAACCAAATTATAGCAACGGTATCATCACCACAAGCATTTACACGAAGAAGGGTATCAAAAAACAAACCTCAAGTTCCTCTGCATTTAGTGTTGCTGTTTCAAGAGATTGTGGGTCGATATCGAATCCCATCACATACCTGGTTTTGAAGCAATAAAGAGATTTAATAATCACGATAGAGAATCAAACAAAACTCATAAGAGAAGAATGGAGTAAAGATGATTGGTTTACTCACGATGCATCTAAAAGAGCAGCAGCAGCACTTAAAGTACCACAGCCACAACCAAAATCCGCAACGACTTTATCGCTTATGTCTCCATATGAATTCTCTGCCTAAACAAGGGACAGATTCAACACAACACAACACACACTTGAGGCTTATTCAAGAACAGGAACAAAGCCAAAGCCACACATAACAACTCAGACTATAGAAATATGAAATCCACACATTTCAATCACTACTAGCCTGTTATGAGTTCCCCAGTTAAACATAGAGGCGAGTAAAACGCACAGTGAGATAATAAGGAAAGACCCAATTCACAAAAGGCATGAAATTAAGTGTAAAGAACGAAAGTTAGAAACTTTGAGCAGAGGAAGAAGGAATTTACAGTGAAAAGCATGCGAGAAGCAATGTGAGGACCAGTTGGGTATTGCTCCAATTCCACCTACCACAAAAGAACCACACACAAGAGTTTGTTTGTTTGTTTGTTCGACGAAATCAGCAGAAAAAAAGGACTAAAACTTGTCGCATACTTTAGGATTGGAGAATTGTTGAAGATCACCCAACAAGCCTTCTAATTGCTTCAGCTTCATCTTCTCCGGCGCTGCTCTCAAGACTGAATTCACAAAGCAAAATCAAAAGCCTCCGGGAAAACTAGACAAAGACAAATAAAACCAGAAAAAGCCATATGGGCCGATACTCGAAGGCCCATTAGTCTCTCTCTAAAGCACTGCCTCTTAAGGTCTTCTTCGTCTCCTTCCCTGAGAGAAACAGAGGTGAGAGAGAAATGTGTCCTCGACCGGCTCAAACATGCGAAATCTGCGAGAAAGTTGTATCAAAATACAAGTGCCCTTCTTGTCTTCTTCCTTAGTAAGTCTTCTTCTTCGTGTCTCTCTCTCATGTAATGATTAGGTTTCATCTTCTTCTTTCCCCTATCTTTTTTTTTGGTCTAATTCTTTCCCCTATCTTTATCATGTCATTGATCTTTACTTCGTTCTGTGGCGTGTAGCTGCTCCTTGGGTTGTTTCAAGATACACAAAGGCAAGTTTTTTTTTTTTGGTCTTCTTTCTGAATTCATAACACTTGAAATCGGATGCAGCTCAATTTTTAACTGAGACCTAAAGTGTTCGACTTTGTAATTGAATTCGATGAATGTTTCTACTTTTTTTATTATTTAGCTTTGATCACTTGCCCCTTGAATTGCTAATTTATTGGAGGATCACTGCAAATTTTGTTTCAGTGTGAAGCTTTAGGCTTTTTAGCTAGAGAGTTTTGATTCACTTTAGGTTTATGTTGATGAGTTTGTAACTATGTACTCTGACCAATGATGCAGAGACTCCATGTGCTAAGCCTTCTTCAACCGAGGAAAAGCCTGGTTAGTGCATTTACTCATGTTTCTTGATAAGTCTTCCTTTGTTTGATTTTGCATCTGTGATGGGTTCATTTGATTAATAGCATACCATATGGATTTCTTCCTCTATCTTTTTTTTTCTTTGGTAAAGTGTTTGAGTCGTGCTCTGGTTTTGTAGCGGCTTCTCCAACAAAGGAAGCCCCTGTGGAACGTGTTGAGGAAGCAAATGATGTTGTAGAAAAGACACAGCTCAAGGCTAGTGGTACGGTTCTATCAACTTAGCTGTTCCAATGTTTGTTGTCTGATGCTAGCATGTCTGGCTACTTTTGAGTCATAATCTGGGGATTTTTCTACATCTCCAGTAAAGGAAGTTCCTGTGGCAAGACCGATAAATGTAAAGGAAGAAAAGTATGTTGTAGAGAAGAAACAGCTCGAGGCTATCGGTAATGTTCTTCCAACTTTTTCTCATATAGATTAATTGGTGACATTCAATACCTTTTCTCAAGTAATCGGATAACGAACAATTGAACCTTCTTCAGATTGAATATTGCTTTATATGCATAGAAGAATGCAGAGTACACTTTTAGAGTCTTGTTGCTGAAAACCAGAGCCGATACTAATATTGTGCACCACAATATTACATCATAAGGTCCACTCTTTTGTTCTGAATCTATTGGCCATTTCTAAATCTGGAAACTATATGCAGCTTCTTCTAGTGAAATTCGTGAAGCTCTAAAGGACGAAGCCCTTCAAAAACTCATCTGCAATATTGATAGCTCTTCCAACCCCTTACAAGTAAGCTCATCTACATTGCCACGATTGCATCAAAGTTTCAAGGTCTTTTGCTGTTATTGATCCCGTTGAACAAAATATATGAAAAGAACTGTCTATGGATGTATCAGGAACTCGATGAAGCCATGGGAGTGGAAGCTTTCCGCGTATTCACAGATAAGGTAAAGTCTTTTAAAGCCTTTATCTGGTTTTCAAGAACTTGCGTCAATCCATGACCAGCAAAAGAAGAGCCTCTGCTAAGTTTCTCACTTTATTGTTTTCAGATTCTATCAAACATTTCCAAGAGTAGTGATGAGCAGTGATTGTAGTTGCAACCGAACAGAAGTTCCATAAGTATTTAAACAAGTATTTTGTTTCTGAATGTTTAAACAAGTATTTTGCTCTGGAGATTGGTTATGAAAAGTCTACTTGTTCAAAACTGGTATAATCAATGGGCCAAAAATAGTTAAGAGAAAACAAACAGTATTTTGTATCGGCAATGCATGACAAAAACAAAAACAAAAAACTTGTTTAAACATTTAAACATTATGTCCGAGATGTGAGAAACAATCCAAGAGATCAATGAGATTCTTCTTTTTTATCAACCATCATCAGTTTTTTTTTTTTTTGTCATGCTATTAAAGGCTCTGTTCCTTTTTTACTAAAGATTTTTTATTAAAATATCTCAAATTAATTCTTCTGTTTTTTTTCTCCCTAATATTTTAAATGGCGATTTTATAATTTGATTATAAATAAAATAAAGACAAAAAAAAAATCTCAACATATCTTGGATCAAATCAACTGATAAGATTCTCCATATATATTGGATTACGTCATCTTTTTAACTGCTCTTTTTGTTTTTTTCTTCTTGCCAAAATATATTTACATATTTATATATTTCAAATAATTTAGTGAAAAAAAATTGTTTTCACTTGAAAACACATCTATTTGTTTTTTTTTTTTTGGAAAAAGAAGTTATGAATTTGTCTTCTGCTCAGAAATATGAATGTATTCGTTTATTTGTTTGATTTGTCTTCAAGTATTTTTTTATTACCTTCACCAAATTTATCAATAAAAGTCTTATAAAACTCGAGATGGAAAAAGTGTTACACTTAAAAACACATCTAGCTTGTTAATAATTCATACTGAATTTATATAAAAATCTAGATGGAAAAAGTAGTCTTGAATTAATAATTCTATCGTTTTTTTTTTTGCTAAAAAAATTTTCTATCGTTTTTGAAATGATTATTAAACTAATTTTAACTATTAAATTCAATATGGATTTGTGAGAAGCTTCAAATTACCATCAATAATATAATCTTCTTCT